ATTTTTTAGAAAAATGAAAAAAGCTGGAAGATAACATATTTAACAACTAACATGTTAAATGTTGACTTACGTCAATGTTATCTTCAGGCAAATAAATTTCTTTATTCATAATTATCAAATAGTATTATAATTTATTTATGAGTATTCAGAGTAGTTTGATATAATGTGTAATATGAAACAAAAAGAGAACAACTATCAAAACAATTATATTTTGGTTTCTTTTGGTGCAACAGTGGACCGCAAAGCATACGACCTTCTAATCCCACAGATCCTTCGACAACTTCCATCCAAATCCAACACATTTCTCACTTATATATACAATTGTATCCTACGAACTACCCATTTTCCTCTCTTATGGAAAAACTCTGTCATCATCCTTTTTCTGAAACCTACAGACCAATAAGCCTACTTTCCACCGTTTCAAAAATTCATTGAAAATATTCTTCTGAAACGATTTCTGCCCATTATAGAATCTAAAAAACCTTCCTACCCACCAATTCTGATTTCGTTCCCAAGATTCCACTGTCTACCAAGGCCTTCAAGTTGTTGACCACATCCTCAGCCCTAGAAAGCAAGCAATATTGCTCGGGTGTATTTCTAGACATTGTTCGAACTTTTGACCGAGTATGGTACACCGGATTGTTCTTCAAGCTTAAAACCTATCTACCTCAGTCCTTATATCTATTACTACGATCCTATCTCTCTGACCACTCCTTTCAAGTCCGCTGTGGAACTGAATTTTCCAACTGTTATTCCAATGAGGCGGGAGTTCCTCAAGGGAGCGTCTTGTGTCTTATCCTTTACATTCTCTTTAACTCTGATATTGCTACTCATCCCGCAACAGCATCCTTTAACCTACAAAGTTACCTCTCTCTTATTGAATACTGGTGTGATAAGTGGTGCATCCAAGTAAATGAGTCCAAATCCAAACATATCACCTTCACCCTTCGGCGTAAATCATGTCCACCAGCTTATTTCAACTCCGTACCACTTTCCCTCTGCGACACAGTTCGGTATCTTGGTCCTAGACAATAGACTAACATGGAACCCACATACCAGGCTTAAAAGACAACAGCTTAACCGACGATATGGCCAACTATATATACTACTCAATTGAAAATCTCAACTTTCAGTTAGCACTGGGATAATCCTGTTTTGACTTCCATATTTGGGTGACAAAGCTTGATTCAGAGTCCCCTGGGCCAATATAAATATTGCACATAGGTGTAAATGAGTTTTATTTATTTTATTACCATTCAATCTGATTTAATCTGTTATTTTATTTATCTTGTGTGTTACTTTATCTTTTTTTTCTACTTTGGTTTTTTATATTTATTTTTCTTTCTTATGTAAATATTTTTGAATGAATACTATAGCTCTAGTACCAATTCCCTTCAGTGTATGTATTAATAGTCAATAAAATCATTAAAAAAAAAAAAGAAAGAAAAGAAAAGAAATCCGAAAGCTATCTCTATTATGTGAACCTGTATATTCGGTAGTTACAGTCACAACTATCGTCAATTAACTGATATTTTTTTCTTAACATAAGTTAAGATATTATAGTAAATAGCTATTTCTAAACATTGAGATTTAATTAGTTCTTTTTTGTCGAATGTTAAAATGTTTGCATTGTCCTTGAAATCTATAATTTAAATATATGTTCTTAAACTTTTTTTTTTCACACATATGCAATGCCCAAAATAGACCAAGGCCGCTTAACTGTTGCAAGACCAAGACAAGGTCTGGTAAAAAGAAATAGATTTTTTGAATAAAAATTAAGGCAAAATAGTCACTAATCTTTGATAAATTTAGTTACTGTTAGTAGATAATTGGTTTAACCAATATACTTTTGCATTTAACTCCTCTAATTTTTCATTCGGGCTTAATTAGATGTCTCCTATCTAACAAGTTACAGTGATATATGTATTGTAATTAGCTAATAAGTAACTGCAAACCCCTTGCGAGATACTTGAGCAAGACCAGGACCATGACCAAGACTGAGATTGCAATACCAAGACTCGTCTCGGTCTCGTATTGGGGCAACACTAATATGCAATATAAGTCTAACTTCTTACCCGTGTTGAATTCTATCCCTAATTGAATTTGGTAAACATTCTATGTTTTATGCACATCGATCTTATTCTTATTGATACCAAGAGATGTACAAGGTTTTTATTTTGTGATATTTACGAAAGGGCGACAATTGATTGAGCAGTTCAGTCCTAGTTATTTTGTAGCAACTCTTGGTTGTGGCAAAGGCGGGTGAGGAGAGAAAAAAAGTGGGGTCCAAGCGGGAATGAAAAAAGAATATATCCTAACTGGAGACATTATCTAACGCTTCCTTTAAATCTTAACTCGTTCAAAACCCAAATCCCTTCCTACTGAATCAAAGGAAGGATGTCATTGTTACAGATAGGAAAAATTGATAAAAGTAATTTTCAATTCGTTGTAAAAACAATGCCGGGGGATGTAGCTTTGTCTGATTGTATCAAAGGTTAGTTATTTTTTATTTATCTTTTTTACTAATAATAAAAAATCTGCAATACCTCTGCCATCCGACCCGAACAATTCGAAATCCTTCTTAAATTCATAATCACTTCTTACCATTTCATAAATAAAATTATAAAAAATTACCTTAATGTTCCCTATGTTGTGTTGGCATGTACCAACTATGTTAGACCGTCGAATTAGGTCTAGTCCATACAAAAGACACTAGTATAAGCCCCTCTAAAACGATATTATTATTTATAATTGGTAAATGGTTGACTGTCGTGGATAATGAAGAGAAGAATAGCTTCCGGGTGCTTTAGTTCAAACTTCGTCGGATAACCGTTATAGATGACGCCACCTACACATCTCTTCTCTCTCCCCCTCCCTTGCAACGACTTTTATTCACCCTGCAACACCTAAGGAGACAGGTAGTACTTCTTTTATTTATTTCTTATTTCAGCTTTCTTAATTTCTTCCCTCCCTCCTTTCATTCCTTTTATCTGTTTTTAACTCTTTATTATATTATACATTGTCTGTACATCCTGATAGACTTTACCATATCTCAATTTTCTATCCAACTACTCCATTCTCAATGTCTTAATTTTACTATTTATTTTCATTTCTTATATAACTTCATATTTCTTTCTTTTTTATGTTTTACATTTTATTCTAACATTCCCATTGTAACACTTATGTCACCCATTTTGATTATGCCTACTTCATCATTCCACACTTTGTAACGGTTATTATTATTTATCTCTTAGTTCTTAGTCATTATTCTAACAATTTCATTTTACTTTATATTTATTTATTTTATTTGTTTATTTGTTTTTATTTTTATTTTTTTTTTAACCATCATTACTTATGTTTCTCATACCTTGTTATCTGGTTATTTTCTTAGGCCTGATGAAAGCCTGAACTTCAGGACGAAAAGTTGGCATATGTAAAAATAAATATTATCATTTATTTTTGCCTTCTTTTTTGACTGAGCCTAGTCAAACTATTCTTCTCTGCGATATTATTATTTATTTTTATAATGACGCTACGGTCCTGCAAGAACCCGGACCTCCTCCACTACAACCAACCAATCTACATGATCTTCGGCTGCTTCCCTCCATCTTCGAAAGCCCAACCGCCTCTGAATGTCCTCCACATCCTCCAGCCTTCTGATCCGAAGACGCCCTCAACTTCTTTTAGCATTCGGCTTCTCATGCAACATCCTCTTTGGCTTTCATTGGTCTGCTTGATATGTTCTTTCCACATGACCTAACCATCTGATTTTGGCCCTTTTTATCAGGTTTTATAAATATCAGGTTTACCACAAAGTTCCTTCTTCTCCAAATTGCATTCTCAAAGATTCCGCCCCATATTCTTCTCGGTACTTTCCTCTCCCTAGAGTTGAGCGTGAGTTCTAAGTTTTTGGGTAAGGTCCAAGTCTCACTCTCATACATGACCACTGGCCTTCCTATGATTTTGTAGATGAGAATTTTGATTGTTTTGAAGGGAGATGGTCCGGGGTGGCGGTCATAAACAGGCTAAATAGTGGTAAAACTATTTCATTAAAAACCAACGTTTCGACCCAACTTTGCAGGTCTTCTTCAGGGCTAGAACGGACAAGATGCAAAAAGATAGAGGATTGTGAAAGTTATATAATATTTAGACAAAAATTATAAACAATGTGAATAAGCTTATTAAAATTATAAACAGTAAGTAAATTAAAATATGAACAGAGTAAGCTAAGTAACCAGATCCTAAACTAAAATAAATAGATGCTAACAATCACTAGCGGATCCAGAATTTGATTTTTCGGGGCGAAAGATTTTTTTTTCATATACATATAAAGATAATTAATTTGAAAAAAAAGAAAGAAATTAATTACCTATAGGAAATGGTGTTTAAGTGGTTCTTGAAGTCCTATTAAATATAATTACAGGAACAAGAATACTTTAAGAGATAGTTTTTAATATTCTTTTTTGTAAAACATGGACTATTTTACCATTTAGGAGGGGGGGTGGGTTCAGCCCGAAAGCCCCCTCCCGTAGATCCGCCTGTGCTAACAATTGTTGTAGTGTAATATATAATAAGTGCAAATGTGAATATACTTCTACAGATCTACATTAGAGATTGAAAGGGAGGAAAAAGGATATAATATGTAATAATAGACATAAAGGAATGTGGAAAAAGAAAATAAAACGAAAAATTTAAATAAATAAAATTAGAGAATGAAAGAGAATAAAATTAGAGACTTACAGGTGTGTTCAGCTAGGAGTTTCACTTAGAACTGGAAAACTAGGGTAAGGGCAGGTATTGGGGAAGCTGACTTGTTTGGGTAATGGGGAAAAACCAATTCTATAAAATATAAAATAGAATTAGGAGATTATAGATAAGAGTACAATGTGAGTAAAAACAAAAATGGAAGAAGTAAAATGTAAACATAGAAACAACTTCATTAACATACATCGACATATTTTTTTATGAAAATGATGTCTTGTTTATTTTTAATGATGTCTTTATATTTCTACTGACTGGTACACTAAACCCACATACCCAGGCAGACTACTCAACTTTTATGCTTAACACACATATCACCGAAAAATCAATACTGCCAAAAACCTTATTCATCGGTCCCCGTCTTTATATGAAATGAAATGAAAACATTTTTTTATTATCCTGGGACTTTTGTCCCTTTAGGACAAATTATAGATACAGAATAAATGCCTGTGTGGCCATATATGACCCACAATACCACCAAGCGAACACTCAGCGTGTCAAAAATATACTATACTATAATTATTTTTTCCAATAATTTCCCTCTCAACACTATACTTAAACTTCCAAACTGCTATACAATCAAAAAGAGTACAACCTCCCCTTCTCCCAACTCCCCACAATCACCTACCACTCCTTTCATATACAAATCTATCCCCTATATTCCTATACTCTCAGACAATATACGAAAATTCCTTAAATCGACTATAACCAACTTAAGTCTTGGCCTTAGATCCCATAACAAACTTTCTTTCCTTTTCACCAACTAAAAGGATCCCATACTTTTACAACACCGATCTAACGTAGTTTACCGGATACCTTGCTCTACTCCTAACTGTAATAAGTCTTGGTGAAACCAAAAACCATCTCAAAATCCGCATTTCCCAACATAAAACATCCATACCTTTCCGGAACCCTTTCGCCTTCAAACTATCAGAACATGCCTTAACCCTCAACCATTCATTTGATTTTGAAAAATCTCTGTCCTTGCCCCCATCATGGTCCCCAACCATGAAAAAAGACTTATTTCTGAATCCATCCACATTCACATGGAACGGAATCCTGTTAATCATAAAGTAGAAAAAAACTGTATTTCTTTAACATATAGAAACATTTTAAACCTTATAAGTGAAAGATAACTTAAATATTACATTCTATTGTTTTTATTTTTATCTACTTTCAATTTTTATAGATTAATTCAATTTAATTGTTCATTATTATAAGCATTTCTGCTTTGTATGATCTCTCTTTTATTAATTTTAATTTTATATTTACATTCTACATCAATGTATAATCATCCTTTTTCACTTTGTATTCATTTTACTTTTTAAAAATGTCTCAATATTATCTAATATTCAAATGTAATTTTCTAACATATGTACAACCAAATATAATTGTAATTATTAATTTTTTTTCCGCTCTCTATACTTCTACGTTAGTTCTGCAATGTATGTTAATGAAGTTATTTCTATGTTTACATTTTACTTCCTCCATTTTTGTTTTTATTCACATTGTAAAACTATCTATAATCTCCTAATTTTATTTTATATGTACATTTATATATTTATAATTTAATATTTCATAGATATAGTAGTTTTTCCCCCTTGTATCCATCCATATCTTCAAATTTTAGATACTGTAATTTTCTATTTTTTTCCCCATTACCCAAACAAGTCAGCTTCTCCAATACCTGCCCTTACCCTAGTTTTCCAGTTCTATGTAAAACTCCTAGCTGAACACACCTGTAAGTCTCTAATTTTATTCTTTTTCATCCTCTAATTTTATTTATTTAAATTTTTGGTTTTCTTTTTTCTTTTCTTTCTCCACATTCCTTTATGTCTATTATTTCATATTATATCCTTTTTCCTTCCCTTTCAATCTGTCCTGTAGATCTGTAGAAGTATATTCACATTTTAAAATATTTTGGATTTAATCAACTTTGGGGACCATTTTTTTTTTCTTTTCGGATTATATCGACATCAGGTTCAACTATTAGGTTTCGGGGGGCGCTTTTTATGAAAATGATGTTGGATTTCAGATAGTGCCCCCGGGCCCCGACTTTTTGTAACATTTCGGATTATATCGATATCAGGGTCGACTATTATGTTTTGGGGGGCGCTTTTTATGAAAATGATATCGAATTCGGGATTGGACCCTCCGGGCCTCGACTTTTTGTAACATTTCGGATTATATCGATATCAGGGTCGACAATTATGTTTTGGGGGGCGCTTTTTATGAAAAGGATATCGAATTCGGGATTGGGAACCCCGGGCCTCGACTTTTTTTAACTTTTTGGTTTAAATCGATATCGGGGTCGACTATTATGTTTTGGGGGGCGCTATTTATGAAAATGGTATTGAATTTGAGATTGGGCCCCCCGAGCCTCGACTTTTATTAACTTTTTGGATTAAATTGATATCAGGGTCAACTCCTATGTTTTAGGGAGCGCTTTGTATGAAAATGATATCGGATTACGAATCATTTTCATAAATTTTGAGATAGTGCCCCCGGGGCCCGACTTTTTATAGCCTTTCGGATTTAATCGATATCAATGTTGATTATGAGGTTTTAGGGGACACTTCTTATGAAAATGATGTCGGATTTTTTTTTTTAAATGTGTCCCCTAAAACATAATAGACGGCCCTGATATCGACTAAATCCAAAAAGTGAATCCACTGGGTGCAATCTCAAATCCGCCAGTATTTTCATAAAAAGTGTCTTCCAAAACTTAATTGTCGACCCTGATAACTATTAAATCAGAAAAGTTACTAAAAGTCGAGCCCCGGGGGCCCAATCTCAAATCCGACATTATTTTCATAAAAAGCGCCCCTTAACACCTAATCATTGACTCTAATATCGATTTAATCCAAAAAGTTAATAAAAGTCGAGGCTCGAGGGGCCCAATCTCAAATTCGATATCATTTTCATAAAAAGCGCCCCCGAAAACATAATAGTCGACCCGATATCGATTAATCTAAAAGTTAAAAAAGTTCGGGGCGCGGGGGTCCCAATATCAAATTCGACATCATTTTCATAAAAAGCGCCCCCAAAACATAATAGTCGACCCGGATATCGATTATATCTGAAAAGTTTAAAAAAGTCGGGGCCGGGGGGACGCCAATATCAAATTCGATATATTTTCATAAAAAGCGCCCCCAAAACATAATAGTCGACCCGATATCGATTTAATCCGAAAAGTTAAAAAAAGTCGGAGGCCGGGGGGGCCCAATATCAAATTCGATATCATTTTCATAAAAAGCGCCCCCGAAAACATAATAGTCGACCCGATATCGATTATATCTGAAAAGTTAAAAAAAGTCGGGGGAGGGGGGAGCGCAATATCAAATTCGACATCATTTTCATAAAAAGCGCCCCCGAAAACATAATAGTCGACCCGGATATCGATTAATCTAAAAAGTTAAAAAAAGTTGTTGCGGGGCGGGGGGATGCGCAATATCAAATTCGATATCATTTTCATAAAAAGCGCCCCCTAAAACATAATAGTCGACCCGGATATCGATTATAATCGAAAAGTTACAAAAAGTCGTGCTCCGGGGGCACTATCTGAAATCCAACATCATTTTCATAAAAAGCGCCCCCCAAAACCTAATAGTTGAACCTGATGTCGATATAATCCGAAAAGTTAAAAAAAGTCGGGACCTAGATGGAGTAAGGCCTCGTGGATGACCAAAAGGAAGAGGGAAGGATAAAGTCTGGATCTGAGGATCTAAAGAAAACAGGATTATCAATCTAGATTGTATTGGAGGTGATCGGTTAAGCTGGCAAAGGACTGTTTCATTCGTTTGCTGTGTCCATAATCAATCAATATTTATAAATCTTCCTCATCTTAAATATTTATTTTAGATAGTTTTGAACTAAAAATTTGAATTTTTGAAAAGTTTTTTTATTTTATTTATTTTTATTTATGATATTTACAACTGTATTAATAAATAAAATACATTTAGTAAATTTGATAACAGAAAATAATAACATGAAATCACTTGTTGAGAAACTACCCACTGGTAGCACTCTAAAAAAAAAAATGTATTTACAATAGGAGATCTCGAGGCCATCTTCTTTTCAGACGCCTCGGAGGGTTATCAGGGATAGAAGAGGAAGCAAGGTTAGAGACGAGAGGATTCGGATGGTTCTGAAGTTTATTATGGAAGGATAGGTATCTGGATTGGGCCAAATCGGAAACATAAGGAACATTAAGGTCGTTATGGATTATTTTATTGGTGACAAAGTAAGGAGCATTGAGGATTTTCCGAAGGATTTTGGATTGTAAGGATTGGATACGAGAGGAATTCGATGGCTTAGTGGAGCCCCAAAGCTCAACTCCGTAAGTCCAAATAGGTCTTATTGTAGTCATGTATATGAGTCTTTTGTAATTAACTGGAAGCTTAGAGCGTTTGTCTACTAAGTGTTGGAGTAGTCGGAAACGTTTAGCGGTTTCTTGTCGTTTCAGTCTGGTATGAGGATTCCAAGTTAGAAGTTTGTCCAACTGGAGTCCAAGGTATCGGATTTGTTCAACTGGTATAAGTGGGGTATTATTAAAGGATACTTTAGGACATGAGGTGATAGGTTTATGTCGAAGGGTAATGGTGATTTGATGGGATTTATTAGAATTTATTTTAATCCTCCTGTTTCGACACCATTCGTCAAGGTTTGTGATATATGATTGAAGAGTTTGGGATGCAATGGTTGGATAATTATTAACAGACAGGACACATGTATCATCGGCATACGTGGTAATGACAGTATTAGGATGGGTTGGGATATCAGCTGTATAAACTATATAAAGGAAAGGACCTAGGATACTACCTTGATGAATAAGCATTATTGTGATTTACTTTGAAGTATCTATCAGTTAAGTAGGAACGGATAATGAGGAAGTATGTAGGATGTAGGAATTTTTGGAGTTTGTACAGCAATCCCGGGTGCCAAACTCTATCAAACGCCTGTTCAACGTCGAGAAAGACCCACGTGCAATACATTCTGCGCTCCAATGGAGAGGAGACATCATCCACCACACGATGGCATTGCTGGATAGTGGAATGGGATCTACGGAATCCAAACTGGTGATCTGGGATTATGTGATTAGAATCTAAGACTGGGTACAGGATCTTAGATCGGTAGGTAAAGAGAGATAGGACGGTAAGGGGATGGGTATTCTGGTGGCTTTTTGGGTTTATGTATCATTTTGATAATGGATAGTTTCCAAGGGTCAATGGCTTTCCGAGGAAGCAGTTTTAGGATCTGGGATGTAATTAGGTCGTGTCCAGGAGCTTTGGGGGAAGTTAACCTGTGAATCGGATATTTCTGAAGGATGAAAGGCTTTAGGTGGAAGAGATATTTGGAGTGGGATATCCAGTTCTGCTTCAATACATTCAAGGTGATTTGGATTAAGAATATCGGGATGTGGATTAAAGGTTTTAAAGAGGTCGTGAGCAAATATTTGGGATTTTTCTTCGTCGGATTCGGACCAGGTTTGGGCTTCGGTGAGTAGTGAATGGTTAGAGTCTTTAAATTTCAGGAGCACTTTAGTGGTCCTCCATAGTGATTTATCTGTAGGTGTAAGTTTTTTAGTAAAATTTAGTAAATTTTTGGCGATTTTTGACGAAACCAAAAATCATCTCAAAAGTCGCATTTCCCAACATAAAACATATATAACTTCCCGGAACCCTTCCGCATCCAAACTATCATAATATCCTTTAATCACAATTGCATATATTATATTTTATATCATGCTACAACAATTATTGCCATCTATTTAATTCAGTTTAGGATCTTGTTACTTAGATTACTCTGATTATACAACTTATTGTTCTTTATATTTTAATGTACTTACTGTTTATAATTTTATTCACATTGTTTATAATTTTTTATCTAAATATGATTTAAAATCCACAATTCTCTATATCTTTTTATATCTTGTCCGTTCTAGACATCCCGGACCATCTCCTTCCTCAATAATACAACAGTCAAATATTAAGTATTCAATTATTTTAGTTTAATTTATTGTATCTCCTTTTTGATTATTAGCTAGTTTTTACTTTGCTTCTGTATATTTTATCTTTTTTTTTTATAAAGCTATTTTTGGGTAAAATTTTTTTTGGGTAAAAAATAAATCTTACTC